TAATGTGTGGATGCACCCTGATGTGCTACGCATTCTTCATCGCGCCTAGGCATGCTTCTGATCAGGTGGTCAATGTCCTCCTGTGGTATCTCATTCCAGGCAACCACCAACTCCTCTCGAAGTGCTTCTAGAGCCTGAGGAGGACGTTGCAAATTGAGCAATCTCCTACCCATCATATCCCACACGTGCTCAATTGGGGATAAGTCGGGAGATCTTGGTGGCCATGGTAACAATGTGACATCATTATGTTGAAAGAAGTTTATTGTGACTCTTGCAACATGTGGTCGGGCATTATCTTGTTGGAAAGTTGTAAATACTCTATATGGAATGAGTAACTATGTCTTCATACGCAACACATTCCGTCAAAAAAATGTGTTTGATCAGAAAGCCTCAAAGATAGAGCCAGGAAACGCACTCTTATAGAAAATAATAGGCCATATTTTCCTTATAATTTATCAAATATCCCCATTACAAAAAATACGATGTTTATACCCGTTTCCAATGAAAAAAAGCTTCCTGATTATACTGCTTTGAGATAAATCTAAATCCAAAAAGTAGTCGCGAAATCATTAAAATATAATTTACCAACAAAGTCAAATATTTGGGCGTACTTTTGGATTCGCACATGAAATGGGTTTACCATATTGATCATATTACCTTGAATTTGAGACATCTGTTATTTATAATAAAACATCTGAGTAATCAAAAAACCATGAAAATTATTCACGAACCTCTCATGGAGCCTAGATTGCGATACGGTTTCTTAGCTTGTTAATTTAGCAGAACTTGAGGTATTAGAAAAAAAATTGTAACAAAAACAGACTTTAGCCGTCAGATCAGCTGTATAAGACATTAAACATGTATTTGTTATTATATCTCTGAAACGGAGTGGATCTGTTCCTTCCAAGTTCGAATGTGTTACAAGCAGTAATGAATGTTGAAGAAAGTTTTTCGCTACGTGAACAGTTTTTGCTCCAACATCGTCACGGACTGGCATTTTCAAATGTAGCACGAACTCGTTGGATCCTACCGTTAGTATTGTAACTAGTTGCAATATAATATAAGAGAGGTTGTTTGCACCGACTACATACATAGTAGGCCAATAATGATAAATCAGATGAGATGCAATTGAAGCCAAACGAATTGAACGATTGCTTAGTGACTTTCAATATGTGAAGTATGTAGAAACACTATTGGGCGCCTATATATCTTTCTGGGAATGACACCAATTGAGCCTCCTGATATATGATAAATTGGGTGCAATTATGTAAAAAATTATACAAACATTTAGATGAACTGATTTTTGCAGTAAAAAGTGGTTTTGACCGGCGTTATTAATCAGAAGTGGGTTTGGCGGATTTAGGGTTCAGATTATCCGTTATAACTCAAAAAATTACGACAGTTACTGAAAACTACTAGAACAATCATGAAACAATGAGTTTTTTGGCCATATAAAAACTATTTAATTTGAGATCGTACGACACCTGTGCACTATAGAGACCCAGAAATACGAGCTGCTTATTTTTTGTAGGTAGAAACCATTTTATGTTCTAGTCTGTGGGAGACCGAAATGTTCGCGTCCGTGGGTTTTTACAAGCTATTATAAGCTTTTATTTAACTTGACCTATTAGTGTAGGCCAGTTCTTGTAACTGTTTCTTGAACCAGATATTGCCGGTGTTTAACGTTAACCAAATGAGGTGGAATTTCACTTTTGTATGCATCTTCGGTACTCGTGATGATTTATGATTTCAACAGTAACCCGAACGATCTGAATATCAAATGAAAAAGGCTTGTCGAGAGGAAAACAATGAGCAAAGTGACGTCATTCTAAATCCAATACGGCGACCGCCGCAAGATGACAGTACCATTGCTGTCGTTCTTTGTTAAAACATGTAAATCTTCAGATGCTTGGAAATTTCATGTTACTGTTAAGCTTCTGGAGATGGTTGTTCACAGTCGAATATATAATTCCGTACGTGATTTCATTTTCATCCTGTCAGCAAGACTTGTGACAAAAAGATCAAGGACAGCAAATCTGATGATATTTACACAATATGATGAATATCAGATTTTGTTGATGTGTGCTCGCAGCACAGTGCTGCGGGGTGACTCCGTGAAGGTGGGGGAGGGATTAGGCAGCGGCATACGCATCGCGAGGAAGGTGTTGTGCTAGCCGTAGCACTATGCGGACAGAAATGACCCGGGAGCTGGTAGCATTAAGTATACCTTCATCGCGGATTCAACTAAATTTAGTAATAGTATGTAGTTTTTAAGTAAATGAACAAGAAGAGCTCAGTCATACCGACTTAAAGATACAGCGTGACAAGAGAATTTCACCGTCATGACCGAACCCAATGAAGCCTACAAGGTTTGATGGAAATTTTAGACTCATTTGGAAAAAAGATGGTATGACAAACTGATTTCCGCCAGAGGTTTCTGTCGTACCGACTGAAAGGTATAGCAGGCAATGCAAATGGATAAAAATAATACATCCTGTTTGTATGATTCATGCTTGCATTTAAAAGCTCATTTGAGTCTGTCAGTTTGACACCAGGCTACTAGATGTTTGAAAGTATATGTAAAATGAATATGAAACGTCATGACCGTTGATATACGTATAGGTTATGGTAAAATCCTACCGTCACGTTGTATCTTCAAGTCGATATGACAGATACTTTCATCGGCATACCAAGCCCGTTTTGTTCATTTACTTAAAAACTACATATTATTACTAAGTTTAGTCGAATCCGCGATAAGGTTTAATTTCGCAGGCTCCCAGCCCCAACGGAAAATGATTGGAGTGACATTCGTATTGACATTTGAATTGGTCTGATCGAGTCAACGTGCGGGTGATAAAATAATGTTCATAATTTCGACGTAAACACATTTATTATCAAGATGATCTTTGACAGCGTTTCGATTCAACAAGTTTTCTAATATTTGTTTTTAGTTTTGTTCAAATTCATTAAAGAAACTATCTGCTCGCAGAAGTACGTTCTACCGAACATGGAGCAAGTTTCCAAGGCCAGTATAAGAATTTTGGGAAAATCTGCTGCTTAGCACCTTGATAAAACGGAATTCAATTACTATTGTAGTGGTAGTATCTATCCTTAAGGATCGTATCGCATTGAAGCTTAATCAGCTCCATTTGGAAATTGACACATGTTACTACTACATCCATAATAGATTTGAACTTACGGAAGGTTTTTGCACATAGTTGTTCGTGATGTAATATGCAGTGTACCGATGATATCGGAGGTAGCCCAGTAAAACCTTGTGCTTCCGATAACATTGCTGGCGCTCCATCAGTAACAACACTACGCAAACTTTTGAGTAGTATACCCATGTCATTCATTGTGTATTCTACAGCATCAAGAATATCTTCTCCGGCCATTGTATTTTTGAGCGGGATAACGTCTAGTAGTTCGTCGGTGATAGTAAAGACTATTTCGACACCTCTAACGAAAACATCTAATTATGCTGTGTCAGGAATGTTTTTACCTTCATCGAGAGCTGTAGAGTACTGCACAAAATGGGCACATTTTCCCGCAGTTGTTTTTTTGTAGTAGTATCCGACGAGAAATTGTTTGATCGGACATAATAATTGTCTCAAAGTTGCTTACAGGAGATGAGAAAATAACTTGCATTACATTACGACACCGTTAATAAGAATCAACTACGACCAAATTAATAATTACCTTTTCAGAACTTGGAAGGGCTGGCCTCAATACCGTGTGACAAATTAAACATTTTTTTACAAAAAATAGGCTTCTTCCATGCAGGATTGAATGACATCTTTTAAAAAAGATGCACGTCAAGACGCTAAGAAACCTGTCCACTTTGTCTTGTTCTATTAAGAAATGTCCCGCGCCCGACTAATATGGTTCTTTCTGTCGCGACGGCTGTGCGGTCGAGGTGGAGGGGGAACGGCACCGGTGCCGCTGGGTTCAGCACCGGAGCGCACCAGCACCAAGTGCTCGAGTTGGAGAGGCCTGTCATAGATGGTGAGGTACCTTCTCGTTGTCAGGAAACTGACAAGATTTTTTACTCAGGTTTGTCCAGTGTTGAGCATATCTCAATAACGGTTAATTCATAATAAAAAACTGTTGGTTTTTCACTAATGTCAAAGCTCTTACAACAATGTATTTGAGTTTTGTCAGCTCAAAATTAGAATATGAGTCCACTATTTGGAATCTCTATTATTCAAAACAAAAAAAGGGAATTGAGAAAGTAGAGCGATGCTTTCTGAAACTGACGGTACATATTCTTCTAGGAATATACTTTATGAGCATCTTAATTTTAGATTTGAATTAGAAAATCTGGATCTAAGACGAAAATCTAATTCTATAACCATTTTGTATAAACTTTTACATAACTCAGAATCTTTTATCTAGTATTAATTGCTGTGTGCATTTTTTGAGAATTTTTGAGAACTAGAAATACCAAAACCTTCCATTATGAGAGAACTATAACTAATTTGCCTCTAAAGTCGCCAGTATTAACTATATGCGAAAATTTTAATTCAAGTTCTGCTATTTGTGATATAAACTTTGACAGTATCTCAAAAGTACTGAATTGTGGTCGCTTGTACTTGGACAGAGCTATCACATAAATGGACTATCCCTTTCTTAATATTTCTGGCATTTAACTTTCATTATATGTTTACTGCAAATGTCTGCCACATATTTTTTAGTCAGAGGTTAAACGTATTGATGCTTAAAAATCATATTTATTTCTTCTTTCGTTCTTTCCGCTATTTTAGTTACTATAACAGTTACTTACATCCCTCAATTGTTTTTTTTATTTTTCATTTAATATGGTTTGATGATGTGCTTTTGTATTGCTGTCCTGTAATGGGGAGACTGTTGGGCAATACAGGTTATCATCATTGCCACATCGTCTATCATAATAAGTGTTACTTCATTATTCGAAAAATGATCAAAGTAAGGCTTTGCAATTCAAGAAGGCAAAAACAAAGAAACAATGCTGAAATACTGACCTGTTTATGTTTGCTTGTCTAGATGAGGTATGTGCTGCAATAGTGATATGCACGTAGACGGTTGAATCGTTTTGTAGAGCTTTTACCAGCTCCTCGCCTTTCCATTTGTAAATGAAAATGGCGCTCACATTTCCTGAAACAAAACAAAGAAACTGTAAATATATAATGAGCATAACGTGATTATGTCATTCATAATTCATAGGATTCTCGCAGGCTGACAGAGGTAAACAGGGAAAGGCCTTTGCTTGGCTGAATTCACTCCATTATTGTCATTTTAATAAAGAATAAACCTATGAGCTCGAAGAATAAAGGGCATTCAGGATGACAAGTGTGACAATCGGAAAGGATCCGGGTCCATAAACGGGTTTTGCGGGACTGGAAATAACTCAATTTAAAATTATCCAGTATCTCACAGTATGCGAATCTCGACCTTTTATCAACATTTTTTTGTTTATTTTAGTACTTGATTGTTCTTTAAAAGCCCAACCTTGCAATTTTGACTATTTTGACCGGATTTCAAGAAATTTTCGAATATTTAACTCGCGATTTTATATACGAGCGTCAGTCGCAACACCTCCTACTTCAAATCTATTATGAAATACACGAGAGAACATATATACAGGGTGGCGCATCGAAAACGAAACAGACGCACTTACTGGCAGCTCAGTTTTTTTTTGGAAAAACGCTCAGACCCGTCGATTTTGTTTTCGAGGGGGACACAAGTTTGGCAAAAAATCACGTTAGCACCTGCAGCCCCCTAAGCGGGGGTGACACCGCCCCCAAAATTTTAAATGGAAAGGGGGTCGAGTGATACCTTATTTTAAAGGTCTTTTAATTCCCTTTATAATGATGTAAAATACATAAGCTTCAGTTCAGTAGTTTTGAAGATTTATTGATTTAAAGCTTAAATTAGACTTTAATAGGTACATCAGATTAGTTGGTACTACTTTCAGAAGAAATTTGACTGAAAGAATTTACTTAATAAGTAAATGCTTTTCTTCACTACGTCCATGGTTTGTTTATCATTTTGTTGTTGAAAATAGCTATTGAAGCGTTTTTTGTGGCAAAATAAATGTCACTAGTGACGTCATTCATGCTGCTGATGTGTGTCTTAAAGTACGGTTCGTTACGATTATGTTTTTAATTATTTGAATAGTTGTTGGCCTTAACCATCGTACATATTTTTTCAATTTTTTATTCACATTGTTCTTATAAGTAACATTTGTGCATTTTTTCTATCAATTGTGACCAAACGCAAATAAAGCACGCAATGCCATAACATGTTGATTGTACCGAGCATAGAGATCAAACAGAAAAGTATTCCATAACTCGATTTTGGGACAATCTGGTTACAGACTAATAGCAACATTAATGAAAAATTCTGTAATCCTTTGTCGATGGTGAGCGCAAAAAATCCGTAACTAGAACTCAAATTATACCAAAAAAATAAACATGACACACACATGAATATTACTTCGGCTTGACAGGTTGACACGTTGACAGTAACTAAAAGATTACAATTTTTAGTAATTTGTGCAAAATGGCTTGCACAAGCTTTTTATGTTCTCTAATAATGGAGCAAAGTTGGTGAATGTGGAATAGGCAGTTAGAGTGGAATAGTCAGATATCTCCAAAACCAGTAGTGACACCTGCACATCCATGGCATTATCTACTGTATCAGTAGCGTAACTATCTGATACAAGGTGCTTTATCGATTAAGGAGCATAACCTCAAAAAACTTGGCGAAACCGGTAAACGTGACTATTGAAACACTGGACTGGCTGCCATTTTTTTGTATTTCTAGGAAAAGTACAACTTTCTTCTAATAATTACTATTTGTTGTTAAGCCTCAGATACATGCATTATCAAATTATGTGTGAATTAACTATCAAATCTATGTTTATAGATTCTAGCTATGAACTTGAGATTAAGTGAGGGTGGAACGGTATTGTGGAATATTTCCAAACATCAACCATACGAGGGCCTACTGATTAAGAATACTGAATTTGTTTATGTTTTGGACTATCTGTGACTTTTTATTTCAGAAAATGCCTTCCAAAGAAATAAAAGGACACAATTGGTCAGAAAATAAAAATGTTATTCTACTATTCAGTAGCATTCCACATTATCATACTAATTTTCGATGGCTACATATTACACGCTTCGCATAATTTCATTTTTGCAAATGCATGGACTCAAAATATGCGACCTATATTACTCGAGCGACTTGACAGAATCTCACAGATATCGGAACTACTTGATTTATTTGAATGCCTCAAATTAGTATGGATTTATAGGCTTCAAATGAAAAGTATTCCACATTCACCAACTTTACTGAAAGAAACAGAGTTCCTTATAAAGTTCACTGCACTCTATAACACCTTCCTTGTCTATCTAACCAAGTTTACATGTAAATGAGTAGCTGCCTTTTCAGTCTCGGACTTAAGAAAGTGTAACCGTAGGAAAAATAAACAAAAATCAAAAAAACATTTTATTCGAAAAAGATTTTTCTAAGCGTAATGCTCCATCCGTCAACGAAGTCAAGATATCTCCACAAATGTATAATATGATTTTTTTGTTTATTCCAGAAATATTTATCTCATGCGACAAATCAAACGTACAACATGAAAACAGGTAAGCTAACCGTACTACGGGGTGTAAACGTTTTGATCACTTTGGGGGTAACTCCAAAGGGCCAATTCCTGATCAAGAATACCAGCCCAAATATTTATTTTAAAACGTTGTTGGAAATGACCTTCACGAATGGTATGAGGATATTCTTGGGCCCACGTGTGAGTATTATGGAAATTTAATATCCCATCTCGCGTAAAAGTACATTCGTCCGTCACTAGAATGTTTTTAAAAAAATCCGGATTTTCAATGTTTTTGTGCAAAAACCACTAACAGAATGTTAGTCTGCGAGGATAGTCTTCTGGTGCTGATATCTGCATTGATTTCCACGATATTTAAAATTTGTTCCTCCTGCTCTACAGTAACCTTTCTTTCACGAGTGCGAATATTAATGGGCTGAACACTTCCTGTATCTCGAAATCTTTGGTACATTTGCACAAATGTCCTTCTGTCTGGGTGTACCCGTTGGCGAAATCTGTTGCGATAAATTTGAGCTGCAAGATTTGAATTCTGACGAGCTTCACCTTAAACTAACAACATGTTGGCGAACTCTTGATTCGAGAACATTGTACGAGAACGACGACGTACGTGAACAAAAATAAAACAACACGCTCGATGCAAAACGATAACTTATCACTGTTACCGTTTGCGATCGATTGTCGGTTCGATAAGGGTGATGAAAAACCGACGCGCTGTTGTCATGTGTGTTTCAAATATTTAATTTAATGAAACTTACTTACTACAAATTTTGGCTTAACTTAGAAAAACTTAATGCCATTTATTTGTTAATTACCCAATTTAAAAACGTTTTAGATTAGATTACAAAAATTAGTAAGATTGTGGTGATTGTGGTCGATACTGTATCAGAATTTCGAAGCATACAACATCTCTGTTCCAACGAAGTTTCTCATATAACGTTGCAGCAATATATAATTCTTTGGACAGTAAATTTAAGACCATGAGTTTACCACGTTTCCGCTACAATGTTAAGTTGAGTTATTTGACCGATTAACTTGCCCCTCAATATTTCATAGATCTTTTCAGAGTAGCAGTATGTGCACACAAAATATCTCATTTTCCACTTCTCATATGGGTTATAAGTGGATTGTTATATATATTTTGCATTTTTTTTTCTGTTAACTGTTAACAACATAATATTTAACTTTAGTGGTTAAGTGTTAGAGTAGCATATTGCTAAACTTCGCCACTATAGTTATACTTTATATACATACAGGGTGACTTCGAAGTTGAGTCATTTATTTTAACATTGAGTAGATCTGATCAAAAGAAATGTTTTTTCCTTTAACCATTTTTCTGGTAAAATTAAAGTAACAAAGTTATAGCCCTTTGGAAGTTTGAGTACCGCCTTTCTCAATAATAATATTATGTGCTCGTGTTTGGCGACAACGGATATAATCCGCCTTATCGGTTCATCGCATCGGAAACAAAAAAGCGAAAGAATTTGGAACGATGTTTTTACAATTATTTTATTCAGTTGTATACGTATACAGTCAGTGTCAGTCGGTAACGCGTGAGTGAATAGTGGTGTCTGTTGCGTGGCTCAAACGAAATAAAAAATGGCACATGTTTATGCGGATCGGTTTCCCAATCGAGTGCAACCAACCCCTCGTGCCTTTGTTAATGTAGTACAACGGGCTCGTGAATCAGGCGACTTAAGACCTCACAGGGGACGGCATGCCGGTGCTCCAAGACCTCACGATCAAATACAGGTCCGCACTGAAATACTTGTCGGGAGGATACTTTATAAATTATCTGAAAATTAATGACTCAACTTCAAAGTCACCCTGTATATATATATATATATATATATATGTGTGTGTATACACATGTATTGTATATATTATTTAATAAAGACGTTTATTATTATTATTATTATTATTATATAAAGCACTTAACGTTGTAAACTATAAAGCCATTTAGACAAAAATTTATTGACTTTTGACCATGAGTCATATGAACTTTTGGACTTGTTTTGACTCCCCCTATTCCCCATTTCAATAATGACTACCAAAACGTTTACACCCTGTATATCACCGAATTAGGGCAGTCGTAGCTGTTGTCTAGCAATAAATAAGTAGGAACAGTTCCTAGCGCCCATGAACATAGGTTATTTTCATGATAGCGTACGCTAATGATATTTTACTGCTTTGGGCGTAAAGAAGCCAGACTGTGGATAAGTGGAACATAACGCCCCAATAATTGGTTCGTACAGCACACTGCGCACCACTCGATCGTAGTTAGATCAGACGACAAAAACCCAAAACAGATTTTTCCTGAAAATACTTTTTCGACGTAGTCACCGTTATTTATATATCTCCATCTCCCTCATACATTCACAATGCAATCTACCCCTCTGTGTGAACGTCTGTTCGGTAACCTCAAAGACATTCGTTTTTTAGTTGTGTGTCTCCGTCTCGAAAACTTTGTGTGACAACTTACTTGAAATCTGTACAATGTCCGGAAATACGATCAATGGAGAAGGCCGACAACTTGTGCTAAATTTATTAGAGCATTTCCCCGCTTCATGCGTACTGGAGCGAGT